AATCTGTTGAGAGGTCAACTAAAGCTCAATTTGGACGGTGATTGACGGAATGGATTCTCTCTTTGAACCTGGCAACATTATCTTTGAAGTAATCAGCTTCTACACTTCCTAATCACGTTTATACACATCGTACTTAACAAAGAAAAAAGTTAGAAAATTTGACAACTAAAATTATTTAATATCACATAATAATAGAGACATATATGCATACCATATCGATTCCATCTTCGCAATCTACAACGAAGATGGTACCACTGCTATCGACGACTTTCACAGCGTACTCCGATATGGAAAACGCGACTGTCCCATGAAAATGTTGTCACTGAAAGATCGTAACCCATGCTTGTGCTGCTCATCTTTCTCTCTGTACAATTTGTTAGTTTGATGCCCTTCGAGCAGTATTTTGTAAATGACATTATGAATTAATATTCGATTATTTGCGTGATTTAATTTGTAACAAAAATATAAAGTTCCATGATCATATAGGATGTCACAAATTGTATACTTGCAATAATGAAACCCGTTAATCATCACGATGAGACGACCGTCACTCCAAGGCATTTGAACATGAACTTAATAGTCGACAATAAGCTCGTTGGACTCTATGTTGTAATTAGTTCACAATGGGTTTACCTTTTAAAAATGAGATTTGGAGGGCAATACATGTTGAAAGGCGAAACAGTCATTTTGCCGGTTTCAACATATTGACGGTCAATGGGGGTTGATTTGTGGAATGATGATCAAAGGATATTGTTATTGGATCATAATTTGCTTCCATAATTATCAATTGACTCGAGAGTGCAATTTCGACTTTTTGATAAGATAAGTTAGGATTAATAGATGTACTTTAATTGGTCAAGAGTTGACCCAATTAAAAATATTTATTGGAGATTGGGTCTTGTAAGTCTGGTTATGTCTCTCTTTTAACTCTAATATAAGTGTGAGACTTAATTGGTCTACTACAATATGAAACTTTAATTGAGCATTATAAATATGCCCTTTATGGGCACATTTTCTCAAGATTAGGGTTAGTCACATTCTCTCATTTTCTCTAAAAGGGAGGCATTTAAAAGTGGAGAACAAGAGAGAAGATAGTTTTGACTAGAAAGTTGGAAGCCATTTGAAACTCCTTTAGGGTTTCTATATTTCTCTTATGTGAGGATTTAAAAAAAAAAAATATCCAGTGACCTTAGGGTGATCTAAAATCTATTATTTATTTTGGTTTAATCTTTAAAGGAAAAATAATTTTCCTATGTTGATTAAATCCAATAACCAACACAATTTCCAAGAACTCTCTTGTGCTGCTATAACTGTTTCTATATATAATGTAATATGTGTGTATAGTAATTTGGTCATTTGGAACACTAATCATGTAAAGTAGAACAAACAATTTTTGAATGCATTTGTGCTAGGAAACTGTGGACCCTCATCCTATGAATTTCCTTATTTTATTTGCAAAATTATACTCACTCCATCCTATTTATATAGACTGATCTTCCTTATTTTCTTGTCTCAATTAGGGATATCAATGAGCAGACCGAAGACGTCTTGGGAGCCAAAACTAGAAGTTCGGGCTCGACATGAGTAAAAATGGTTTGCGTTTTTTTTTTTGCCCGAGCCAAGCCGAGCTTTTGTTCGACCAAAAAATCTAAGCTCGACTTGGGCCTTAGCGAGCCAAGCCAAGCCCAGTCGACTCACTCATTTTTTTTTTAATTTTTATAGCTGCCTTTAAAGGTAGCTATATGTGCTTACCATAACAAGGCAGCCATGTTAGCAGCACTGTTGCCCTAACAAGCATAAATAATTTCCATCAGCTAGCATTCGAAATCAGAAGAATAGCGAAGTTTTGAAGATTTTTTATTTTTGTATTTTATCTTTTAGGTTTAGTTTGTTGCGAGCCTAAAATGGCCCTTGACATAGGTTGACTTGGGTTCGAGCCAATGCCCCAAAATGGGGCTTGACCCAAACCTCGGCTTGGTAGTCGGTTCTACTGGGTCACGAGCCGAGCTCGACCGGGCAGGCTGTGACTTTTCCTTAGTCGGACCACGAGCCTCTCGAGCCAAATTGACACCCTCAGTTTCAATTATATAGTCTTGTTTTTGTTCGTTTACTAATATTTCCTTATTTAATTTGTCTAATTATAACTAATTTTTCTCACTTAATCTTGAAATTGTACAAATATGAGGATACATACTTTTGAAAATTGAATCGTTCAATTTCTTTACTACTTCCAATATTAATTTACTATTAGTTATTGATAATTAAATAAGGATAACGTATGAAAGTTTTCGACAGAAAAATGTTTTTTTAATAGCCTTAAATAAGATTTTTTAATTCGTGTAAAAGAACAAAATCACGATGGATGAAATCCTTATTAGTGAATTTGATTGGTGCAATTCCATGAGACAATCTTGATTAACGGATATGTCCACATTTGAAAATCTTCAAGTTTGACAAGACCAACTGATAGCTGTTAATTGGATGAGTGGGCTCCACAATATGTCAACATCAGCCAGCGAATGTGACACGTTGAAGGTGTCGGCAACTTACTGAACTGAAACGCGTCCTACCACCCGATAAGAATTGCCACCACGACAAGTGTCTTCAACCATAGAATTTTTTTATTTATATATTTTACTGTTTTTAAACAAGAGGGAGAATAACGAAGGATTTTGTTATCGAGATCTGCTACAATTACCGAGGCCGAGGGCGAGGGCGAGGGCGAGGGCGGGGCCGGGGTCGAGGCGGGGGGGGGGTGTGGGTTGACAACCGCCCTCACTTGCGCCTCACAATAGTGGGGGGCCCACCGTGGGCCCCCCACTATGTGAGGGGGGTTGTCAACCCCCGGTACAAATATCAATTCCCTTTGTTATTTGTAGATAAAAAATTGTATGTAATGGATTGTATAATATTTTATGGAAGAAAAAGATTGAATTAAAAAATGATCGTGTTTTAAACTAGCAAAAGATAGAGTATCATATGACATTATATAATCAATTATATAAATTTTAACCCCTATTCGGTCTGGATTAAAATCTGATTTTAATTCAAATCAAAATCAAACAATCAATATTAACCACATCTTTTATGGGTCCCACAACATTTCTAATTGTATAGGTCCACGTGGGCCTTGTACAACTAGGGTTGGGGGCTTGCGGGACATTATTGTAACTAATTTAACCTCCATTTGATGGCCCGACTAGTAATTTTTTTGAAGAATTTGTGTTGAAAAAGTAGAAAAGATTTTGAATTTATATGCAATATATTTTATTATGTGAATGTGTTGTTGAAAATAAATATGAGAATTAAAGAGTTATGTTTTAAAGAGAATAAAATCGGTGCTAAAACTTTTACTGACACGTTTATTTATTTTTATTTATGCAACCATGCTGCATTGTCAGATAAGTTTGATATTTTCCTTAACAGAATGTTATCGAATTATTTTAAAAACAATCAACTTTTATCTTCAAGTAATTTTTTTTGTCACCAATAATTGATTCTTATTTAAGAAGTTATTATAAATAAAAGTGAAAAGGACTCTCTTTAAGTACTTTTAAGCGTGGACAATTGTAGTCCATTCCCCAAGCAATGACGTGGCGGCCCACCTGAATGATACGTTAGGAAAAAGAAAAAAACACTTTATTTCTTTTCTTACTTTAATTTAATAATAGAAAGCTAAGAAGCGTTTAATTAAATAAATAATCTAATTGACGTAAAAGCCAAGCCATCTAATTAAAAATCATAATTTTATAATGGCCTACAAAAATTGCATTGCTTGTTTTCATTTCTATAAAAAGGGGTGTCTGTTTGACAAATTTAGCAGATTTTAATAAAAAAAAATGATGCGTATTATTAAAAAATCGATAAAAGATGCGAGTCCCATAAATTACGTGGTTAAAATTAAAATTTTAAAAATAAAAAATTGATAAAATTTAACTAAGTTTTTATCAACAATCAGAAAGGAAATGAGTAATGTTATTTAGCTCAACTGATGTTACAACTTCAGTTTATGTGCGCGCTAGATGACAGATTAAATGAAATGTGTAATTAAATTACTTATTTAATTTTATTTATTATTTAATGATATATTAATACCATCTAACTTGGAGTTGTAATTTCAGTGGAACTAAGTAACATTATTGAAACGGAATTTGATGTTTCTTTCTCCCATCCCAATCCAACCAACTATGATTACTTTCTCCCCTCACAACGGGTACGTATCTAACAGAACATTATGCCTACTTTCTCTCCTCCCTATCCAATCAGCTTTACTTGAAGCTGTCGCTTGGATTTGAATTCTGAATTATGGATTTGACTTTGGATAAGTACAAGTGTACAAACAGCCTTCCACCTTGTACCCTTGAAGGCATAACCTGCGATTAATCTCTTTCACCATAACCCATGAAATGACATGACAGGTGGGGGCTGCCAATGATACCATTAACTATGCTTGCTCTTAAAACACTATGCCCCCGTTTGGCATCCATTTTCTTCCCATTCTCTTTCTCATTCTCTTTCTCTTTCTTCATTTCAACCACACATTAATCAATAAAATAATATTACACATAAATCCAAAAAAATTTCTTACTTTTCAACCACACATTCTTTCCATCAATCACTGTTCCAGAATTTATTCTTCACCAAAATGGGTGTCAAATACACCCTATCTTGCATTAAAAGACTGTCGACACGCACACATTCGGACAAACGCTATCTATAAACGGATCACACACGGAAACAGATATTTTCTCTGCCATTAATTCTATAAAAATATAATCTTGTAAATTTTCTCAATTCCAACTACCAATTTCTCTCCTGTCCCTTTCAGTCTCTCAACGGTTACTCGCCCCTTTCAAATCGCAGTGGTTCATAACTGTTACTAGTTATTACCACTTATTGTCTTCGTTCACACCCATTCCCCACCACAATTTAATTACATTCTGTAGAGAGGAAAAAGATCAAGATTCGGAGTTGGGTTTTTGATCTGAGAGGAAACCCATATGGATTTCAGTTCGTTCCTGACGTCTTTAGGGACGTCGTTTGTGATATTTTTGGTGCTCATGTTCCTTTTCACGTGGCTTTCGAGGCGACCCGGGAACTTTGTGGTATACTACCCGAATCGGATCCTCAAGGGTTTGGATCCATATGAGGGAATTCGGCTGACTCGGAACCCGTTCGCTTGGATCCGTGAGGCTCTTGCCTCCACTGAAGCGGATGTCATCAACATGTCCGGTGTTGATTCTGCTGTCTACTTTGTCTTTCTCACAACTGGTACGTATTTTCACACTGATTTATTTCTATATTAATGTTCTGTTAGATATGTATATTGCGTTAATTATGTTAGTGTGAGTTTATGGATTTTAAGGCAAAAGTACTTATTTTAGCTTGAGTTTCAAGTATTTATTTATTTGCACAAAAGAAAGGAAGAGTCCAGGGGCGGAGCCAGCCTGTCAGACGAGGGGGGGCCTAGAGGTGAAGGGGTGGGGGGCTACGAGGGTTCAGGGCAGCGCCCTCGAATTTTTTTTTTTTTTGAATACGTTATTAATTCATTCTTTGTATACGTCATTTCCAACCTAAGAACGTATTTACGACATTCTCCACGGAAATGTTTTATTATCAATGCATTTTAGCAAAATCCAATTTAGGTAAAGGAGAGAAACAAATTATTACATAGTTTTATGTCCATTTCGAGTGGTGATATAACTAAGAATAAATCAAATTGGAGTTGATTAAGGACAATTGATGACCATCTCGATTGCACTTGATCAATAAGAATTATTGAGAGAGCAATATGAACAAATTCACGTGTTTTGGGGGCTAAACTCAATACTTGGAGATTTTGTAAACTAAATTACAATATTTCAAAACTTGAAACAAATCAATTATAGATGATTGTGGAGGATCAAGATAAAAAAATTAAAGTTAACTCCTTCATGTAACGATATGGTAAGCCTTTCTATTCTAATCAAAGTCCAAATTTGACTTTTGGTATCTTACAAGTTAGAAACGGAAATCCTTTCTTCTGGTGCACAGCTGGGCCTTCCTTTAACTTAAAACTAATAAAAAAAAAAAATTATTTGAGCCCGAAGTTCAGTGTGGGCACATGCCCACACTGGACTGTACATGGCTCCGTCTCTGACTGGAAGACCACTGCAAAAAACATGAATTGTCCAGCGATGCCGAGTTTATGACCGATGAAAAAAATTTGTCACCCAATTAAAAATTAAAACTTTATTATGATAAAATGTCTTGATGATAAGCTTTTTTTTCTCGGAGTCTGTCTATCTATGCGTTAATGGTTCTGAAGTTATCGTACTTTCAAATTCCTGCTCTGTTAGGCAGAACAAAAGACGGGATTAGTAAGGGAGATGAGTAATGAAAGCCGATGATGTGAGGCCAATTGGCAGTTCCATACTTGCGAAAGCTACGTCACTTTCGTGCTTCTCGGCACTATTTGACTTTTTATGCAGATAATCTGTTAAGCTTTGTTGCTGAATTTGCTTCTCTATTATTCTTTTTTGAGAAAATATGATAATATTCACCTGAAAGCATGTTAAGAGTTCCATTCAAGATTTAAGAAAGTTAGATATAGGCACATAGCTACCACTGAATTTGTGGAAGCTAGGGGCTTCAATGTGGGTTATAGTTGCCTCCCAAAACTATTGAAATCCTGTAATTCTTCCCTCCCGTGCTCATTTCAAGAACGATGCTTTTAATTTGTAGAACTTTTCTATTGCAAATGGTTTCCCTATATTTGATGGCACATTTATCTTGCCTTAAAGACTTAAATACCAGGCTATGTGGTTACCCTGTCCAAAATAAGAATTGTAAGAATTTTCTGGGTAAAATTTATATTAAAATTATCTGCTCTCCGATCCTTTTGCTTGTGCGTGTGTATAAATAATATAGACTGTCATCTTTTAAATAAGGGATGGGTGCATAATTGGCTAATTGTGCAGAAGCACCACAATAATCATGGAAGCTGTTTTCTTTGAGTCACAATTATGGGAAGTTGTAGACTGGTTCAGTTTGCACTTATCCAGGGTCTATTTTTGTTTCGTTATATGCAAGCTGTAACAGCATATTCACATATCAATTTCTAAAATGGCAAGAACTTTTTTTTTTTAATCATACATCTTATAATGTTTATGTTAAACAATTCTACTTATTTTAGATGTTAAATTTATTGTTTAATGCAGTGTTAGGAATATTGGTTTTAGCTGGCCTTCTGCTTCTGCCTGTACTTCTACCAATTGCTGCTACTTCTCCTGGAGTGAAGGCAGATAACACCACCAGTGAAGGATCTTTCAATGACATTGATAAGCTGTCTATGGGGCATATAGAAGTAAGTTTCTTCCTATTACCTGTGTGTTCGCAGAATTAATGTGGGGGCAACTTTGAATGTCTAACTGGAGAATCACATTCTAAATTTGAGATTTTTCTGGTGTCAAAAGCATAGTTTCCCCCATTGTTTTCTGCTGTTTGCAAATTCGTTTTAGTTATATGATGCTGATCACTGTAGATGGTTTTCAATGCACCAAATCTTATCTGATGTGCTCAATTGAAGTTTATTTTCTTGTGAACTGCAGGTGAAAAGTCCACGGTTGTGGGCTTTTGTGGCAGCTACTTATTGGATATCCTTTGTTGCATATTGCCTCTTATGGAAAGCATACAAACATGTTTCTAACCTGAGAGCTGCAGCACTTATGTCTCCTGATGCCAAGCATGAGCAGTTTGGTGTTCTTGTCCGAGACATACCTCCTGTCCCTGAAGGTCAAACTAGAAAGGAGCAGGTGGACTCATATTTTAAATCAATCTATCCCGACACGTTTTATCGCTCAATGGTGGTCACAGACGGTAAGAAGGTACGTACAATAGCTGACATTCTTTTTAGTCGTCTTCTCATTTATTTATAGATCACCATATCTTATTTTCCCCCTTTTGGATATTGTTTGCCTTTTTTGAATTTAAACGGATGTAGGCTTTAAAGTGTTTTACTTGTACTAGGTCAACAAAATTTATGATGAGTTGGAAGGGTACAAAAAGAAGCTTGAACGTGCAGAAATCATATATGCAGAGTCAAAACAAACAAGTAGCCCAGAAGGAACAAGACCAACAACTAAAACTGGCTTCCTGGGTCTTGTGGGTAAAAAGGTGGATGCAATAGAATACTATGATGAGAAGATAAAAGAGTTGATCCCAAAATTAGAAGCAGAACGAAAGGTTACTCTCAAGGAGAAACAACAATGCTCGGCTCTAATCTTTTTTACCGACAGGGTAACTGCTTCATCTGCTGCACAAAGTCTACATGCCACAATGGTCGACACATGGACAGTTATGAATGCTCCTGAACCTCGCCAGTTAATATGGACAAATCTTCCCAAAAACTTTCACGAGAGAGAGATGCGTCAATATGTCATTTACTTCATCGTGTTTTTGACCATATTCTTTTACATGATACCAATTGGGTTAATTTCTGCATTAACTACCCTGGAAAATTTGAAGAAGCTTCTCCCATTTTTAAAACCAGTTGTGGATCAGAAAGAAATCAAGACAGTTCTAGAGGCATACCTGCCTCAGCTTGCACTTATCATATTTATGGCTCTTCTGCCAAAGTTTCTTTTGTTTCTATCCAAGAAGGAGGGCATCCCTACACAGAGTCATGTAGAAAGAGCTGCTTCTGGAAAGTTCTTCTATTTTTCAGTGCTAAATGTATTTATTGGTGTTACAATCGGTTCAACACTTTTCACTACAATGAAGGTCATTCTAAAGGATACTGGCAAAATTGTCCCTTTACTAGGAGCAAGTCTCCCAAAAAGTGCTACTTTCTTCTTGACCTTTGTGGCTTTGAAGTAAGATTGCTATCCATTTTTCCTTTTTATTTCTAATGGTATATGTTTATTTTTTATATTATTTACTCCGTGGTTCGTTCCATCAATTTTGCTTCGAGTTTTTTAGGTTTTTCCATTGATATTCCAATGATTATTTATTTTTTCTCTTGCATTCATGCATATGATAGACATGTTCTTGGTGGTAATAAACCGATCTCTTTCTCTTTCTGGCAATGGATACATTCATTATTCCCATTCATCCTCTTTATTGGTCTTAATACAGTTGTACTATAATCATAGGAAGATACGAATATCATCCCATATCTCTTAAATTGCCTTTCTTTTTCCTAATCTTTTCTGAAGTCTTGCATAATAAGTTTATATCGTGATATAAATTTCTCTTCAGTTTATATGGAATTCTGACTTTTTAATTGAAGAAGTTACTGTGTGTGTTAATTTCATCTGTTGGTTTACTTCATGGTGCTATTCAATTTCTTTTTGAATACTGGTGCAGTTTGTCAGAAACAAGTAAAGTAAAGATTCTGCCTCACTGGTTTTGGCATATGTTTATAAACAACAGTTGGGTTTATAAACAGATAGAAATGAGGAGTGTACAAGTGAGTAGTACTTGCTTGTGGGGTCCACAAAATATGTGAATAAAAAGTGGTTTAACTTTTAGCAAGTGTTTATAAACATGTTCATAGAAACTCAAAAATCATTAATGCCAACTTTTAAAAATTTGATGTCTTGGATTGACTAAAATGATTTGGTGCATTGACAGGTTCTTTGTTGGCTATGGGCTTGAGTTGTCACGAATAGTTCCATTAATAATATTTCACCTAAAGAAAAAGTACTTATGTAAGACTGAAGCCGAACTAAAAGAAGCTTGGGCTCCGGGACATCTTGGATATGCAACTAGAGTTCCTGGTGACCTGCTGATTCTCACAATTGTTCTTTGCTATTCTGTAATAGCACCTCTAATTATTCCGTTCGGTGTAGTATACTTTGGCTTGGGATGGCTTGTTCTTCGGAATCAGGTGACGTCCTCTAATTTTTTTCACTTGGTCAATCGTTCTAGGTGAAATGAATAATAGATTTCCAATTATTGCCGTTCCCAATTTTATCTTTTTATCTATTTAGTTAGTTTTTCATATTGTTGTTTTTCCCTAGTGACTGAGTGTGTGAAACTATGAATAAATCAAATGTTTGTTAATTTGAAGAACAATGACTTTTTAACAGGTACGACCTAGATTCAGCTTAAAGATTTTAACTTCAGGATTTGGATGCAACCAACACAACAATTTTAATATGACACTTGATAGGTTTTACAACAACTTTATGTGGCACTATATTATAAAATGAGTTCGACTAATATGAGAATTAGTGACAATGCTTTTAACTAACTTGCTGTTTAAGAATTATGAATCACTTTGGTTGGAGAATATGAGTTTGTTTAATATAATTATAAGCGAGCCTTCGCGGAAGAATACTGGAATCTGCATTAGACTAGAAACTATTACAATTTTGCTGGCAATATCTACTTTATGTCCATAAGATAATTTTTTTTTTTTTATTTTTTTATTAGAAACACATATTCAAACTCAATTTTTATGTCTACAGGCACTTAAAGTTTACGTTCCTTCGTACGAGAGCTATGGAAGGATGTGGCCCCACATGTACAAGCGCATTATGACCACCGTGATCCTATTTCAAGCAACAATGTTGGGTTACTTTGCAGTGAAGCAGTTTTACTACACTCCCATTTTGATTCCCCTTCCAATTTTGTCCTTCATCTTTGTGTTTATTTGCCAAAAGAAATTCTATCGGTTTTTCCAATCCACAGCGCTTGAAGTTGCTTCTCGTGAATTGAAAGAAAAGCCGAATATGGAAGTAGTCTTCCAGTCATTCGTTCCACCAAGCTTGAGTTCTGAAAAGGGTGATGAAGATCAGTATGAAGACGCGTTATCTCATGTTTCGAGAACCGGTTCTACAGTTTGATGTACATTTTGTGAATTAATTGCCACTATGTTCGTGTTTGTAGAAGTCTGCCAAGAAAGAGTATTTGATACTAATAGTTGGATAATTTGTTCGTAGTTTGTTGCAGTAGGTTTATTGTTGCCTTGTGGGTTTTAATGTTGCAAACGTTTGTCTTAGGACTTGTAATCTGTCACCTGTTCTTGTTTATGCCAGAATTTCACTAGGTTCATTTGTTATTTATGCATACTGGTTAGTGTTTAAGAAAGTAAAAGGTAAATTCCTACTCACTACTGGTAAGTGTTCAGCAAGAGAAATTAAGAACAGTTCCAATTCTATCACTTTGCTTTTACGTATAGCACGATTGAGCCACGAGTAATCTCACATGGAATTTTCCTCGATGCAGGCTCTTTCGTATGTACACGGAAGAAAATTATTTAACAAGCATTTAAATTTTGAATATTATACGAAGAAAATTTCTTTCGATGTTGAAAAGTCTCCCTTTGGAGGTCAAAATAAGTCGAATTTTCTTACCTGGTTCGCTTAAACCCCCAAGTCCTGACCAACGCGTGAATAATGTTGAATCAGCCATGGTCAATTATCTATATTGTTTCAGTCTCCAACATAAAATTGCACCTATATATATACTGTATCCTTCTTGAGCCTGAAAAAACTACTCAAATGGCCGCCGCAACCTCAAAAGCAATCCTTCAGCTCCACCACAACCACCACCACCATCCCGCCACCGCCACCAAAAATGGGCTCTCCATATCATCAATCCATGCCTATCAAAATTCCCCTTTTGAAACTCACCCAAGTCTAAAACCTTCCAACAAGGGCATTAAACTGGCTGAATCATTGTCTAACCTGTTACATCTGCACATTGAAAGAAACCTTAATCATCATCCTTCGAACGTACCAAGAATTGAAGATAAGCACGATACTCCAACAATGTCTCCTAAGGAAGATATATCGAAAAAATGGCAAGAAATTCATGGTTCTAATGACTGGAATAATCTTCTTGATCCACTTCATCCTTGGCTTAGAAGAGAAATAGTCAAATATGGAGATTTTGCACAAGCAACCTATGATGCATTCGACTTCGATTCGTTCTCTGAGTATTGCGGAAGCTGTCGGTACAATCAAAGAAAACTTTTCGGAAAGTTAGGCCTTACCGGAAGTGGTTATAAGGTCACAAAATACTTATACGCTATGTCGAAAATAGATTTGCCTAAATGGTTGGAAAGATCAAGATTTGCTGATACTTGGAGCAAAGATTCAAACTGGATTGGGTTTGTGGCAGTGAGCGACGATCAAGAAACACGACGAATTGGACGACGTGACATTGTTGTGGCATGGCGTGGTACGGTCGCACCATCGGAATGGTACGATAATATGCAGAGGAAATTAGAGCCAATTGGACAAGGAGAAGCGAGAGTGGAACATGGGTTTCTTAGTATGTATACATCTAAGAGTGAGTCCACTAGGTACAATAAGTCTAGTGCCTCAGAAAAAGTCATGAGAGAAGTGAAGAAACTAGTGAATTACTACAAGGGAAGAGGTGAAGAAGTTAGCCTAACGATCACAGGCCATAGTCTCGGTGGTGCATTGGCACTTCTTAATGCGTACGAAGCTGCAAAAAATTTCCCCGGCCTTCCGATCAGTGTCATATCATTTGCAGCACCCCGAGTAGGCAACATTGCCTTCCGGGACGAACTTTATCAAATGGGTGTCAAGACTTTACGCTTGACAATAAATCAAGATGTCGTCCCAAGAATGCCAGGTATAGTATTCAACGAGAGTCTACAAAGGTTTGATGATATTACGGGTACATTGGAGTGGATATACACTCACGTGGGAGTAGAACTGAAACTCGATATAAGATCATCTCCATATCTAAAGAAAGGGATGAATTTAATGGGAATTCATATGCTCGAAACATATCTTCATTTAGTCGATGGATTTCTCGACAGCACAACGACATTTAGATCAGATGCTAGAAGGGATGTTGTATTGGTGAATAAAGATTGCAACATGCTTGTGGATGAATTGAGAATTCCTCATAATTGGTACCAATTGGAAAATAAGGGACTTGAACGTAATTTCCATCGGAGGTGGGTTAAACCTACTAGGGATCCAGAGGATATACCCTCACCTACAGTTGAGTCATACAGTAATGTACTTGAACCTACGAACATAATGCTTCATTTAGAAAGTCGCAAAGAATTGCAACAAAACTGTTGAAGATCTCATTTTAATGCTATTTTTTAACATTTTTTTTTTCAGAAATATTCAAGGTGGAAAACTTGCGGTTAGATTCACAAATTTGATTCTTCTACGTTTGTTTTTGTGTTTTTTGATCAGTTCACTGAATCTGATTATGAATTACATTCAAAGTACATGTAATTATTTAATATTGAATTTATGAATAACGAAGAAAATCTGGTAAAGGAAAGCGCTGCAAGAATCTGACTAATACCCTCACAACTTGCCAACTTGATCCATTTTATTCCTAAAAATATTCACAACTTGCCAACTTGGTCAATTTTATTTCCAAAGACCTTTTTTCTATTTAATTTTTTTCAAAAACTAACCAAAAAAAGGAAAAATAAAAATAAAAATAAAAATTGAAACTAAACCTGTTGGGGTCGAAAGCACAATGGCTAAAATGTTTATTGCAATCTCTCCTCAATCAAAATTACACCCCCATTTTGCATTTCTCTATGAAATCATTTCATGTCTCGTGTGGAGATATGTCTTTCTCACTTATGCTTGTTCATAAACCATCTGCTTACACCGGGATTGTCATGCACTCAAACTTGTGAACTCTTATTTTAGAAAACTCCAAAATATTAATTAGGGATGGATTCAGGATCAGACTAATTTTTTTTTTTAAACTGGGCTAATATGTTAAAAAAAAATTACCCTTGAAAAATTGAAATGGGCTGGAGGGCTGGGTTGAAGCCCACCCCCGCCCACCCCTAAATCCGCTGTCAAACTATTTTTTTTTTTTTGTCTGCGCTATCCTTGACTTAACCCATACTCTCAACACAACGCTCACGTCCTTGTGTCTTTATAAGCTATCCACTCAAAGTGCCTATTTAGGCTACAACACCTCCACCCAAAAGGTTTACAAAAGACTAAGAAAGATTCTAAAGGTAGCATTGAAAGGTACGGTGTTAGATTGGTGGCTAAAGGTTTCACACAAAAAGAAGAAGTTGATTACAATGAAACATTTTTAGCATTTTCTTCAAAGGATTCGTTTAGAATTATTATGGCTCTAGTGGCATACTTTGATCTTGAACTTCGTCAAATGGTACACTTTTGACAGAAAAACTTACCCACTTGCAAGAAGAATTATAAATGCAACAACTTGAAGGTTTCAAAGAAAGTGAGAAAGAACATATGGTCTGCAAGTTGAAGAAATCCATTAACAGGTTGAAGCATGCTTTTTGTTAGTGGTACTTAAGGTTTGAAGAGGTGATTACCACTTGATTTTGTTGACAACAAGATAAGCCAGTGTATATATCTTAAGATCAGTAGGAGCATATTTATTTTTCTTGTGTTATATATCAATGACATTCTTCATGCTAGCAATTTAATTTGCTTCATAATACTAAGCAACTGATTTCAAAGACTTTTGACATGAAACATCTTAGAAAGCATCTTTTGTACTTGGTATTGAAACTCATGGGACTAAGCTACGGAGTTTGTTGGGACTTTCTCAAAGATCATATGTAAATAGTGTTCTTAAACGTTTTAATATGAAAGATTACAGACCTAGGGAGGTTTCTATAATAAAGGAGAATTAACCTGTACGAAAAATTGTCCTAGAAATAAAATAGAGCAACAATAGATGGAAAATGTGCCTTATGCTAGCGTTGTTGGAAGCTTGATGTATATCCAAGTTTGTGTAAAGAAATGTGGCACAATGATG